AACAATGTTAAATAATGCAATGAGTACATTCAAATCCATCCTCAATCATATTTATTTTCACTCCCATCTCTATTCCGAACGTCCCTTTAGTCACTACGACAAAATTGAGTTTATACATAGGACCCCTAAAGTGTTGAAATATCCTAATGGAGTGGCTTATAGGACCTAAGTCTATAGGACCAAAAAGAACATCCTATCTAAAAGTGTTACAATAACTTTATATTACGTTTTTAGGCATCGTAATAAGTTTTCTAGGACATTTTTTAAAATATAGTGTCGTATTAGCTATTTTATAGGACTGTTTGAGAAAGTGTTCTATAAACATGAGTGTCCTATAAAAAGATGGGTTTACAAGACATTTGTCAAAAATATCCTATAAAATAGCTAATACAACTTTTTACTTTAAAAAATGTTCTAAAAACATGTTACGATACTCAAAAGCGTCATATAAACTTATTGTAACACTTTTAGATATGACATTTTATTCTTTAATCATGTAAACTTAAGTCCTGTAGAATAGTCTATTAGGACAATTAAACTTTAGGCGTCCTATAAACCCGATAATGTTGTGATGAGTAATGACGGACTTCCAGGGAATGGTCATTTGTTTTTTAACATTTTAGGTGACATTGATAGAGTGAAATTTGTGAGCTTTTTTATAAGGCTTAAGTTATGAATTATCAATAACRAGCTTATGTTAACGTACAATTTATTGTATTCTTACCAATTATAGTATGTGACAAAACTGTCATATTATGATATTGTTTATCAATCTTGTCTTTAATTTTAAAGCTACATTCACAGATATAGCAAATTCGATCCATTAAATTGTTAGGAAATGATACTGATGATATCTTTCTCACATTTACAAGGACAAAATGTCATCATGAATTCTTTTTGTTGTAATTGTTATTTGTTGTAACAAAATATATTATTATTTTCAAGATAAAGTGTTTATTTATTTATATAATTCTGTAATTTTGGTTTCAAAACCATCTAACCAAAAAGGGAATATAAAATTCAATTTTGTATACAATTCATTAGAAAACGAAAAATTACAAGAAAAATTATATCCAATTAATATTGAAAATAAATATGATTGATTTTTGATTTTTGATTTTCACTTATTTACAAAGACACAATGTCACCAAAGTCAATGAAATGTTTATATTTAATAAAACCCCAATGTTTTAACATTTATTCGAAATTTCCAAACAATTTCCTTATCAAAAGCATTTGTTGACGTTGACTTGGGCTTCCATTATTAAAGGAGAAAAAAATACGGTGCTTGTTGGATCAATTAACTCATAAATCCTACTCCTCCCCTCATCTCTCAAATCCTCCATACCTTCCTTCATAATGGTTGTTCTCTCTCAATTATTACAAGAATCTTCATCTTCTTCCACAACTCATGGTCGTCATTATTATGACGTCTTTTTGCGTTTTCGGGGTATCGACACTCGTCTTAGTTTCACTGATCACCTCCATGAGGCGCTCCTCAATGCTAACATCACTRCTTTTTTGGACGATGAAGAGATCGAAACTGGACTATCTTTGAAACCGGAATTGGAGACTGCAATCAAAGCATCTAGGGCTTCTATTATTGTGTTGTCTGAGAATTATGCTTCTTCATCCTGGTGTCTCGATGAATTGGTATTGATCCTTGATCAGAAGAGGACCTTCGGCCATATGGTTATCCCCATCTTCTATCATGTCGAGCCCACCGATGTACGGAAGCAACAAGGCAGCTTTGGAATTGCTATGGCAAAACATAAACAGAGGATGGAAGCTGAGAAGAATGAGGAGGAAAAATGTCAATTGGTTGAGAAAATGAATAAATGGAAGAAAGCACTTGAAGAAGTTGCTAATTTAAAAGGGAAGGATGCAAAGGGATGGTAACGATCCTTCTTACCCATTTTTCTACGTACAATTTAAATATTACATTCTCTTTAAGCATTTCTGTGTTTATTCCATGATCATAAATTTAAATAGCCATCTTTT